AAATTCTAAATACCAGCTTTTTTCTAAGGTGTTGTCAATGCTTCATAAATTTATAAATATTTTACCAAATTTACTTTGACATATTCAAACCCCAAAGCATAACATTCATCTGCTTCCCTTACTGTTCACTCATGATTTATTTCCTATCTGGAAAAACTGATTTATCACCTCTGTTATGATTGGGTTTATGTCACTATTTAATATTTAGAATCTTTGATTTTTACCAAAGCTAATTTCCTGTTTAAATTTGTTTGAAGCAGTCTATTATCATATACTCCTCAAGGATCTGCATTTAAATTGATTTGTCATTATTTTCCATTCCACTGACCTAAGCCTGTCCTCCTCAAATATTTCAGTGCCAAGCTCTGCAGGGAGTATGATGAGGTTCAGCTGTGAGGAGGTGAACCAAGTATGGCAACGACAGGCGCACAGCCCTTCTGACAAGCAATGCCCTCGGTGGTTTTATGTATTGTCTAAATAGCTCACAGCTACGCAGCCGAGTTAGTGTGGGTCATAATACTATAGTCACACAACATCCACAAGGACCTTCTAGGAGATTTTGGCTGAGCATGTTAGTTACCTCTACACCTGGTCAGGATCCGTGCTTCCATGCAGGGGTAAAGGCTGAAGTGATGTTAATCCTCATGTGAAGCGGAAACTTTCTTATGATTTTTCCCTTAACTGCAACACCTCAAGCAGCCCGGTGCCTGCTAATAATAAAAAGGGATAAGAACCTCGTGCTGAGGAAAGAACATTGCTGACTCAGCTGCTCTCACCGATTTTCTACAGTTCATTTACTTAATGTTAAGGCCTTTTATTCAAGAACGGTCCAGCTTCATTCTTGTGTGGTCTGACAGACCCGTAATACACAGGAGGAGCAGTGGAGAGCCAGCCATGACCCTGAGCGCTCACCTCCCCAAGTGCTGAGGCCAGCTGGGGTGCACATGAGCGGGGCGATGCTGGGGGACCAGCTGTGGCCGTGGGCCAGCCTAGCCGCTCGCGTCCACCCGTCTGGTCACCTTCTCCTTCTGGGAAGAGCTGGGGAGCAGCTCTCTGAGCAGGACTTGCAGCTCTGGCAGATGAACACCTCTTTTACACTTGCAAATGGGCAGTTGCTTCTAAATAGGATCTTGTGTCAAGTGAGAGGAGGGGACGAGTGACCCGGGCGCATCCCTTTCAGAGCACGTGCGCAGCCTGGATGCTGGGTGGTGGTTCCTGTGGCTCTCCAGGGGAATCCGACATGTGGATCACATCTGCAAGGTTGCATAGTGAATGCTTGCAACCTTGTATTACCGAGTCCTTGAGCTAAATAGTTTTTCCAGGATTCACTATCCAAACCGGAAAAAGCTAGACTCTTATGCTAGTTACGATAATAACGTCTTTCCAGGGAATGGGGAAAAATATTGCATTAACAGTTCACAACAACCTCTTCGTGTTGAAACAAGTCAGTCTTTTCTTGATCCATTTTGTGAACTTCATTCACTTAGGTCATGCTTTCTAAAGCTTTTATAATCCTTATTACTTTCTTCTGAATTTTCTCCATGTGCTTCTCGATTCCTCCAAAACAAGATTTAATACTCTAACCAAAACCTTACCAGTACTGAACAGAGTGAAACAAGAACCTCTCAGTAGCACAGAGGAGACATCTTTACATCCCCAGAATCTGGCTTGCCACTTTCTCAGTGAGTCATTCAGTGTCACTTTTAGATATGCTGAAACGCTTCTGCCTATCTCATGTGTTAATATTTTGCGTTTGAGCACTTGCCTGAGGTTCAGAGGGTAATTTCTGTTATCTTAGAGAGGACTTGGGTGGAAGTGGCTATGTTGAAGATAGTGAGATTCAGAGAGTCTGTATCACACCATTACCCAAACATGACAGTCTGGTTCCCAAACGCAGGCAGCCAAGCGCACAGAAAGGATCCTGCCCTCTGCCCCAGCCCCTCTGTGGTTCCAATCTAGGACAGAAACATGCAAAATTTCCATCCGAGTTCTGAAAGGGGCTCAGCCTGTTAAGAGTCCTTAGACACTTGATACACAGCAAAATGAAGTGGCCATGGAGATTGCTGCTGAGCAGCCTGGATGGAGGAGGACAAGACATGACTTGGATGCCTGAGTTTGATTTTTATGGATTTGAAGACTTCTTCCTTCTATGTGCAATTTGTTTTAGCTTGGCTTGCAATGTCAAGTCCAATAACATGTGCATGCCACAATTTAAGATTGTGTATACATGGATGATTACACAGCATGATAATTTGTTAAACCACACTAATTTAATGATATGGTAATACACTCAATATTAGGTTTCCCATTTCCTTAAGAGCATGTGATTCAGCTTGTGTTGCTTTAGCATCAGGTTGACTCTCATTTAGCATGTGATCCACCATAGACCACATCTTATTTGCTCTACTTTTTCTCAAATGGATATTCTGTCATATCTGAGCTTGATCACATCTTTTCAGTATAGCATTTTGCATTTTTCCTTCATTGAATTATATCACATTGGATTTAGAAACTGTCCAGCTTTTTGGGATCACTGTGAATTTTGATCATATCCTATACAGAACCTGTAACCACTCCCAGGCCCATATCAAGCGATCAATTAATATTTTATTTTTTAGTGAAGTTGTCAATGAAATTACTGACTAGTACTGACAGCAGGTTAGATTTTTGCAAGATTCTCTCTTTCTCTCCCATTTCAAAAGCCCTTCAGATTCCACAATGGGTCAAGGATATATACAAATATATATTTTAATAATAATAATATATATTTAAATAATATTTTCAGCTGTATCAGATTTGATTTTACAAGACCTTTGTCTAGACAATATTTTCCTAGCTTTATATAAAAATGTTACATTGGAACTGTATCAAAAGACTTAACGAAGTGAAGATCTATCACAGCCTACTGTTTTTATGTAATCCATTAGGCCGTTCATCCTGTCAAAGAAGAAAATTAAATTGGTTGACATGATAGGATGTTGGCAAATCAGTATTGCCTAGTTTTCATCACTGTATTATCCTCTAGCTACTTATAAATTGATTGTTTAAAAATTCACAGCAGAATCTGTCCAGGGCATGTGTTAGGGCTGCATTAGGTTATGTAAGGCACTTGTCTACATTTCAAAATTTTCACACTTCAGCTGTGCTGCTATGGTTAAAATAATAACAGCCTTCTGCAAACCCACTGCCAGTGTCAGCGCGGTTCAACTGGAATAAATATGCTAATTCTGGAGCATGTACTCTGCACCTGATTATTTGGTTCAGCAATTAAAATATGCCATATCTATGCTCCAGCTTTACTGACCTTACTAGTTCATCAGCAATGACTGTCCTAATTTATATGGGTAAGCCTGTAATACTAAGGCTGACAAGCAACCATCTGTAATACTACTGTACAAGAAACTGCTTGCTTGTTAGTCTTGAGATCCTCTCCAGATTGCAGGAAGGATCACCCTATTTTAGGGAATTCATGAAGGCTAAGACAAGCTAAATGGTTATTGGAATTTCAGCTAGAAGTGATCAAGGCCTTTCTTAGTTGTAAAACATCAGTACAGAACTGCTGTGAGTGATGCTCTAGGTCATAACATCTACTATTAGGATACAGACAAAAAGAAGCTCTTAAGCTGCTCTAATGACTTCTCTCTAAATTTCATTTTCATTAGAACAGCTGACATATAGCTGGAAAATTTAGAGCCTTCCACAACAGGTATTAAAGATGAAAATTCCTTTTCACAAATAATGAGCCAGCAGAGAACTGAATATTTGATTTTATTGGTCTTACTGCCAAGACCTTTCACAGTTTCTTGGTATACCACCTGTCCACAGTGTAACTAGCATCATTCATTAATTATGGAGATGTCAGCTTCCACCTCCAGTTGACTCATTACACCAAAATTCGTCATCTCTGTGTTAAATTTTCAAACAAACATCTTTCTTGGACTCCCTCCCTTCTTGGAAAGACATCCCCGAGGGGATCTTCCAATCCACTTTGTTATCCTCTCTTCTGATGGCTATGAAACAATTGACAACTGATGGGCTGCTGGGATGCTGCAACCACCGCTCTTCATTTTAATTAATAGCATCTCACTTTTTCCCTTGGCTTCTCTCCTGTATCTGCCTATCTGTTGTTTCTCACCTAATGGTTGGGCTGTAAATTCTTTGGGTTAAGGGAAAACTTATAGTTTTGTAAATGTACAATGTTGTCTTGGTCCATAGCTAGGGCTCCTAAGTGTTATAGTATATATAATAAATAAGCAATAAAAATCCAGTGATTCGAGCAACTAAGCACTTTTCTATGCCAAATAAATTCATATTTACGATACTATTTCTGCTACCTCCTTTATCTAGATTCAGAGACTCCACACATCTCCACTGCATGCCTACCATGGTTTCTGTCTTATCAAGGAGTGTGGCCAATACAAAGTATTGATCAAATTTTCTGCCGAGATGCTAAAGCCATTCCCAGAAGGACACTTGTCTGCCCTGGAAGGAGCTGAAAAACATGGAGTGAGCTAAAACTTCTCTTTGTTGATTCTGTTGCAAGCAACAAAAAACACACATAGAGATGCTCCAGGATTCACCTTTCCAAAACAAATTATTTCAGTTACTTCTTCCCAATAATGACTGCTTAAAAATAATTCAATTTTGGAAATTTTACATGCAAAAGAGGCTATTATTCTTTCTGCTAATGACACACAACAGTCTGATTCAAAATCAGTGCATGATATTCTATACCTATAGTACTAATGACTATAAACGAAATCACATCAATAGCATTGCATAGCTGATTCTGTTACTTGGCAAATTCTTTCAGATTTTAAATGTCTTCATTTGAATTCAGATAAGACCCAATCAAAATTATTTTACTGAAAATGAATTTCCTGACACTCAGAAGGCTACTTGTCTAAAGTAATAGTTTTGTGTGGTCTACAAATTGTGTGATTGGAAATGGCATATTTTAACTAATGCAAAACTTAAAATGTAATAAAGAGTGTACTCTATTTTTCTCAAAAAATTTAATTGCAGAATTATTTACAGGAGATGAACATAAACAATACATAAACCAATTGAAAGAGGCAGCTTCATAAAAGAGCCATGGGGCAAAATAGTGAAGCACATTTTCTTACAATCAGCTGGAGGTGAGTTAAGAACCATGAAAAAAGAATAACTCAATAATAAAACAATTCTCAAATATGTCTTCAAAGTAACAAATAACATTCTGGTAAAGAAGATATTACTGAGAAGCGAGAAATTATTGTAGCAATGAAACAACATACTGTACATTCAATTTAGGTATCCTGCATGCTACTAAATAGAATTTATCAAAAGAACCATAAAAGCATGAGAAAGAGAATTACATAAAATAGTTTAATTCTAGTGAAGTGTAGTTTTATACAGATGGTGAATATTTGGCACTCAGTTCATCCTCATTGTTGATATGATTTCTTATGTATATATATTTATATATATTTATATATATTTTTAATGATAACTAAACAGCTAGTTTCCTGGTTCTAACATTCCTTGAAATTCTATAGGAGGCATTTAATTTAGTCCTTAGGCCACACTTGATTATTTTGGCATGTCACATGGTAAATGAATGTATGAGTTTTGTCTCTGTACAGAAAATCCTGCACAGTCATAGTGGCTTTTCTTCAGGAAAGAACAGTTCTAGAGCAGTATAAGTCAGGCTACTTGAAAGGGAAATTTTCTTAATTCAATAAATTAATATATAAATGGAACTAAAGAATACATACATGCTGAGCCCTTTTAAAATGAGATGGCCATACTATTAAACCTCTTAAGGGTAAATCAAAGCATGGATATGAGCATGTGGATTCCATGGGTAATTATAAACAAAGCTAGTATTTCTTTGTGAGAATGAGTCGGAGACCTGAAGCTACTACCAAGCCCTCTGCTTGATTGTGACCTACCTGAAAAGAAGAACTACATCCTACAGAGTAGTTATGAAGTTGCTAATTCAAATGATGAGTTCTTCCTACCTCGGCAGGACTTGCTGAGACAGATATTGAGCTGAATTATAGTGATCCGAATCTGACTCCTTCTGATTTCGGTTTCTCAGCATTGATTTAAATACAGCCGAGATCGGAATTTAGCCTGAAGCTCTGCAATAATCCATCCCACAAACAAGAAACTCACATGACAGTTCAGCTTCAGGAATGGGAAATGCTGTGTTGAATGAAAGAAGAGTAAGGGAAGGAGAAGAAAAATCCTCACTAATGGGCTGTGTTGGTGAGTAATGACCATATCTTCAAATAAACCTCCCCCTCGTTTAAGTTTAGGTGAAAATATTAATGGTTTTGTACTAGAGAAGAAAAAATCCTGTCCGACAAAACCAATTTAGAAAAATAAAAATTTGGCTTTAATAAAATAGAGAATTAAATTGCCAGCTGATGAAAATTGTTCTGTGTTTGCTCAGTTAAAGAGCAAGCCACATAGACACACTAATTTACATTATCTACTATCTGACTTCAAAAGCCCAGTTCTGTTTCAGCAATGAAGGGTAATGGGAGAAACACCCATGTGTGGAACGGTGCGACTGTGAACATGCAATCTTCTTCTGTGATCATCATTTATGAAATGTGATATGCATTTAATGAGAAGGGATCTGGAATATGGTTTTTAGATATAACTAATGCCATGGCCTCTTGCAGCTATTAGAATTTTATCTCGTTAAGAGGAGCTGAATCAGCCTTAACATGCTGGCCAAATTCTCTTTTGGGCAAGTTTCCATTTCAATTTCGGTTTTATACTTGCTGTCCTGAACAGCCTATTATGTAGTTAAACAGCTGCAGCATTACACCATAGAGGTAGCTGCATTTCAGAGATAAATTAAGCAATTTCTGCATAATTTCTGCATATACAGAGGGCTTAATTCCTGCCAGGAGTCTGTGTATGCATATGAGTATGCTATAAAACAGCTGCTCCCAAAAGATGGTCCCTGGAGGTGAACATGGGGAATAGTTGCAGATGGGCCGTGGGGCTGCACTAGGCAGTGAACCGGCCATGGCCATCAGTGCTGAGGCTGAGCTGCGAGCAAGTGGCACGGTCTACAGGAATGTGAGTGCTGACTGTGGTTCCTGGGTCCAACTCTCTGGGACCACGGCACCAAAATATCGTTATATATGTATATATATATGCATGTATATATCCTCTTTCTGTTCTCTGCGGTATGAAATGGCTGCCTCCAGTCTGCGGATCCTGCCAATGCGGAGAGGCGTCCCCATTGCTCTGCCATACGAAGAACCCTTCGGGTTAGAGCTGAGTCTCAGTAAAGAGCAGCTGCCCAAACGAAAGCATAATCCTTATGCCTAAATCCTGCGCCCCACACTATCCCTCGCGTTAGCTTGGCTGGCGGGCAGACCCGGGGAGAGAACAGGGCGCTTGGCAGTTACGGCACAGGGGCTGCTTCTCCAGCGCGTGCCCCAGATGGGTCTCTCCTGCTAAGAAATCTGGGGGGGAAATGCACTTGGGAAGGAGAGACTCGCCAAGATCCCCGACCGAGAGGGCTCAGCTGCAGGCGCCACCAGCTCCCGCGCCTGGCACGGGCCAGGGCTCTGCTGCGGCACCCTCCCAGGGGACCTCCTCCACTGCAGGGACCCTCACTGCCATCGTCGTGAACAGAAGCAGCAGAGATTGTTCTGGAAACTTAGTCTGATGCTCTTCATTCCCTGCCTACACCCTGGGAGGATGGTATGAGCATTGCCCTCGCCTCTGCTTTGCTTCGCTCAGGTCCTTCTTTTGGTTTAGTGAGTCTTTGCTTCTCCTTCGGTGCAGGCTGGGGCCATAAGGGTCCTCCCGGGCGCTGGGAGGGTGGTGTGGAAGGAAACTCCCCGGCAGTGTGGGGACAGGCAGAAGATCTCCCAGTGTCCCACCATGCCGGCTCACCAGACCACGGGCAGCTTAACCTGCTCCAGCTGCATCCCAGCCTGGAGTTTGTGTGTCGGCTAATAAAGTGCTTGGAGATCCTTCTGGATGAAAGGCACTGTATAAATGTAATAAGTGTCAGCCTGTCATACACCAGGAAGCACCTTTCTAAATGTTAAGGGGTTTGCTGATATTCCTCACCTCGAACGCAGTTTGCGGGTGGTTTCACTACATCATAAGATGCTCTGGGAACAGTATCTGGAGGAACGCTGCTTCGCATTTCATTTAAGCTAATACTGAGGCTCCTGCTACACAGGGTTTCGCAGCTTTTCAGCACACACAGCTTGACACCTGGCGCTGCCAAACCAGCTTCAGACCTCAAATTAACACGCACAGACCAGCGCTTGATGGGTCAGCCTCCAGTGTGCCCCCTGCCACCAGCGCCCACGCCGAAACGCCGAGGAGGAGGAGGAGGAGGAGGAGGAGGACATCAAACCCACCGACCGGGCAGGGCAGGCTCAAGGCTTTGAACGCAAAGGGCTGAGAGGTGGGCTGATCTGGAGGCACGTTGCGCCGGGCACAGGGGGCCGGGGTGGACCTGCGTGGGGTGCCGTGGGGCCAGCAGCCTCCCAGGGGCACTGCTTCGGCAGGGCACGAGGCGGCTGCGGGTCTCGTACGGCACGTCATCACGTAGCTGGTATTTCTTCTCCTGGCAAAATCACCCAAACACCGAACGTTCCCTCACTTTCTCCTAGATGCAGTGCTGAAGATGAAACTAGAGGACTAACTTACTGATACAGCAGGACACGGGCTTATTTTAAAACAAATAACTTCCATTATATGAAATGTATTTTATATATATATATATATATATATATATATATATATATATATATATATATATGAAATCCACACACCTTCCTATGCACGCTTTAATTCCTTCCTGCTTGATCTCAAATCTAACATAGTGACAAGGTTTAAGCATGAATTAAAATGTCATTTTTTGGTATTAGACTGTACAATATTATTAGTCTTCACACGCTGCCAAAGGCCATTCTAATCAGGTTGACACAAAATAATAAAACACTTCATAATGTACTTCACCAATTTACAAATAATTTAAAATCTAAAAAAATATACAAAGCAAAAATAAGTATGGCAAATATCAACAATTTTACCAGTCAGGTCATCTTCTTTATTTAAATTTTCAGAATTCTGTTTATTATACTTGTGTTTTACAGGCAGTGAAAAATGAACAGAGATTTTCTATAATTTTCATCTGTTAAAATAAATATTAGTCCAATTAGTATTTAATTAAACACTAGATGATATTGCTATATCCAGGTTTTCTGTGTGGCTACACCATGAAGTCTCTAAGTAGAAAGCATTCTGCTTTCTATCTTTATGTTTATTTACGTTCCTCTTACATTGGTTTTGTAACTGAATTTTATTTTTGTGATGTGGGGTCGGATTACAATTTATCTGTTTATATGTTTATTAAGATACCACATGCTGTGTTTCTTATGTCAGGGACTAAAGCAATTTGACTTTTTTTTATTTGCAACACAAGTATGATAAGCATAATGTTTTATTTCTAAACTAGCCAGATGTACAATATGTAAATAGAAATGGCTTATTTGCCTTTAATGATAGAATGTTACCTGTACAAAAATGTAATATATTGCACTTTGAAATGTAACATGCACAGATAACATATTATCAGATTTTTCATTAGGCATCTAGTTTACTTTTGATTCTTCCTTTTTCTTTTTTTTTTTTTTTTTTTTTTCTTGAAACAAAGGTAGAACAAACAGAAATCAGATATCCAAAGCTTATACTGAACATTTTCTCATAATGGCATGGTAAACGTAAAATACAGGGTTGGCGTCATTCACACAGGCCTATTTTTGCCTGAGAACATCCAATAAAATTTTAATGTATCAAAAAACTATCAAAATATGATTCTAAAATTAAAGACTTATACAGATTGCTCCAAATCAGCATTAATAAATCATCTGGGATCTAAACTTATCTGTAATCTGTTGTTTTTACAATTTGTCTTTATAAACTTTGATTACTGGCATAATCAAATACAACTTGTCTTAATCGCATGACTTGTTGCTGCAGGTGGGGGGTTTTCAAGAGAGTAAGTCAAATATGATTTCTTCTTGAGGTGTACAGGAAAATTAGATAAAATGTATCAGCTGCCATATATATATGTGTATGTATGCATGTATGTATAGGGGGGTGTGTGTGTCTATTTTAAATTTCTTAAATCTAGGAAAGACACTGGCTTTAGTTTTGTGTGGATATTTCTAATTAGCAGCTCCACTTTAAATAAGATACCAGCTTTCAAGAGTAAGGGTGCCAATATCTGCAGATAGGATTCAGCTCTTTCCTTAATAGAAAATGCCTTGAAAATACGAGGGATGGGAAATATAATGTTTTCAGTTATAGAAGAATATTTCAGGGATTTTTTTTTTTTTTTTTTTTTTTTTCATTTTTGAAGGATATACATTCGTCTTGGTTTTTGCTTCCAAATACAGTTTAAGGCTATTTGGTAAAGTATATACCAGATATCAGGCTCAATTTACAGGGTTTTCTTCTCACAGAACCTTCTCAAAACTTCATCTCTAAAGATTCATATCTTGAAGCTAAACATGCTATATCAGCTGTGCTCCAAAGACAGAACTCATGTTTAGTACTACACACTGTAGGAAAAAGAGAAGGAAAAAGAAAAACAAAAAAAAACCCAAAAGGAAACAGATTTGAAGCAATGTCAGATCTGCATAACCTATGATACTTCATGTTTTCAGTCATCCATCAGGCTGCAGGGTGCGTGGGATTCGCATTTAAAGTGCTCATCAGGTGAAGAACCAAAGTGCTTGAGTATAATTAAATAGCTGTTCTGCCTATGGCTAAATACATTGCATTTGTTAAAGCAGGTAAACGGGGGATGTGGTATTTGGGGCTGTCTGTCTCTGGGTTCAGACTCTTTTGACCTAAAGCAGTGTTCAGGAGGATTCAAACCTTGGAAATGGGGGCTGTGGGTTACTCATCTTATTGCGTCTTCACCTGAAGACTTCTAAGTGCTGGGTTGCTCAGTTGGCTCTGGAAGGTAGGTGAAGTGGAATAATTCTGTCTTAATTTGTTTTAAATTAAAGCCTCTTGGCTGTGGTAGTTACCACTTCTCTCTTCTGACAATGTGAGGCTTGGAAATATATTATTTTCTGTATATTCCATGGCTGGAAATCACTTATTTCTTGAGTCGTGGTTTTTTTTTGTTGTTTTTTTTTTTTTTTTTTTTTTTTTTAATGTCTGAAGCAAGCAAGAAGCTTTTTCTTGCCATAAATGATACTGCATAGAAAAATAGTTCTAAAAAAAAATACAACTGTAAACCACAGTTCACCTTTACCTTAACATAACCATTTAAACTTAGATATACTTACCACTCACATTCATATTTCTTAAACTGTTTACAACATCACAACTGGCATTTTAAACAAGCAAGATTTTTTTTTTTTTCTCAAGGATACCCTGGAAACTCAATTGATATAACATTTTGAGAGTTTGAAATATTACATGTAGCATAGCTCTTGAAATGAAAGAGAGAAGGTTTATAAAATAAATGTTAACACGTAAAAGAACTGTTAAAAATGCAATGAGTGTTCCAAAGGAGCGAGTATAACTTTTTCTTTACACATCTTGCTACAGAAGATCTAACTTTTTAAGGCTTCCATTTTCCTTTCACCCATCACTCAAGTCCTCTTGCATTATAATTTTGCTTAGGTTTCAGAGTGTCGTTATACTGCTAACGGCAAACGTTTCTCAGTGGGCATTCCCACCACCACCACCAGACTTGTATGCTTCTTGGTTTCTGATGAACTTTGGAGTTTTAGTGGCTGGATATCCCTGTTCATCTCCAGAAACTTGACATGACATGAGAGGCCTAATGTTATTTTGCAGTAACAAAGATGAGAAGAGTGGCAGAGCACATGGGTAAATATGTTAGCTGGGTTCTAGGAAAAGAAACTGGAGGTCAGAGAGATAAATGGGTTCTTTCTTTCCTGCTCTTTACATTTGTAGCACCTTCTACTTGGATTAGCTAATGCCTCTAGTGAATGGTGAGATGCACCCATTTATAGTTTGTTATTCTTATCCCTAATTATCACACATTTTATAAAAATATAAATAACAAAAAAGTAAGCTGGGTTCCATCTCAAGAGGTGTTTCTTGTTGTCCTCTGAGAATATATTGGATAAGTCAGGTCTCAACAAGCCCTATCCATTGTAGCTGATTGTTAGTCAGACAATAAATACAAAAAGAAGTCGTTCTTGCGGTGAGCTCAGCAAATTCTGAGGAAATCAAAAGCATTCCACTGTGCTTATGGCACAAAGAACACAACAGCAAGGGCATATTTAGTGGAGAGAATGAGACAAAAATTACCAGGTAAGTGACAAACTGTACAAGCATTTTGTTTAAAAAAGGAACTCTGCAGCATTCTGTCTTTAAAGCCGGGTTTGAGCCTCTGGGATATATATCTCGATGCTGTCTGCACGTTCTGTGGCTGAATTCTGCCGGAAAGAGGCTGCTCTCTTTGCAGCCATTAGCCGTCTTCTAGCTTCTTGTCGCTGTCTGTCAGGTAGGTCCAGAGATTTTTCTCTTGTAATAGGGAATTTTCCTTTTGGGGGCTTCTTTGGTACAGGAGGAGGAATCTTTCTTTCTTCCTGCAATGGGGTATTAAAACTGAGTGTGAACGGTGTGTGGAAAGCACCGTCAGGGGAGCATGCAAATCGAAGACATGAAATGCAAAATACTGGTTACATACATCAAGCATGCTCAATTTGTGCTCTCCACTCAGCTGACTAATGTATCACATGAATAGCTATCCACACTAGGGACACTGACAAAACCCTGTTGCTTCAGTAACCATTACAAATTCTGCAGTCCTGTGCCTTAAAAAAGACTGGGCTTCTTTCTACTGTCCTTGCAGATATCCTGCACATGCAATCTGTGTACTTCACTTTCATATGAATTTGTTTAATTTTAGTTGACACATTATTACAGTCATTATAAACAGAAACACACACTGGCTCTCCAATAAGAATTCAGCACATCTGTGTGGTCTGATTGAGTGAAAAAAAAAAGACTGTCTAAGATTAGCAGGATAGGATTTTTAATTAAATTAATCATACTGAGTTTAGCCTCAGCTGGATATGAGACAGCAGCTGTGTATATATATATATCTATTAGTTTAGTCTCCTCCATGAATTGCTAAATGGAAACATGCAAGCATCATCCAGAGAGAGAACATAGGGCTAATTGTTCTGCTTGCCAGCCTGGACCATTTTAAAGAAAATTATATTGAAGAATTATTAAATTATAAAATGAGAGTCAGTAGATTTTGGTAGCAAAGTAACTGCAAATTGCTCTGCAGGTTTTAAATCAAGAATTGTTTTGAAGTATGAAATTGATATTGTACTCCATTTAGAGACTGTGAAATATCATATAAGGGCCTTAAAAAGATAATGTAGAATCACGGAATCATACAATAGTGTAGGTTGGAAGGGACCTCTGGAGGTGATCTCAAACAACCCCCATTCAAAGCCCCCTTGATATTAGAGGCAACTTTGAAGTTAAAGCAGATTTTTAACATCATATGTAATACTGGACTGAATAGCCCCAAAGGCAGAGACTCCACAACTTCATATGTATAGTATGGTTATTACGATCAATTTTTCTGATATATCACTTAAAGTAATAGCAATAGTCCAGAGTATGGGCTGTTCCTTATGGAGAACACAGTTAATTTGATGCACAGCAGGATTCAAATAATACAAAAATTGAACTGATGCGCCTATGGTTTACAGACTTTACATTGTTTGTTTGTTTGTTTGTTTTTTAAAAAAACTAATTCTGAGTCTACTACCAAAATGCATTAGCCAAGACTAAATAACTAAGGTTATTTAAGAATACAGGTCTACATTCTCAATTCAACAGGAACAGTGCAGCAGCCTAAGATGCTATTCCCCATGGCAGCCAGCTCTTCCAGTCTTTATTTTCTCTATTTCCTGTTTTCAGCCAGGAACACAAGGGCTCCATTCCTATTGTCCCATCTCATATTTTATTTTTCACTTTTAGTTATTTCCCTCTTAGGAACATCACTGTTGCTGTCATTATAATAATTTCTTACTTCCAGTTGTCACTAGTAAGCAAGAGTTGCAAACTCACCATCCACCAACCAGTTGGCTGAAAATTAAAATCCAAGAGGAGCATGAAGAAATGAAAGAGTTGTCAAAATGCCTCCTAATTCCTTCCAAACCAAACAAGTATTCACCTGAGGCCAACAGTACTGACTCAAACCAAATGCTGTCTTCATCTAACTGATACGATAATCAGCAAAGATAGTGGGATAATTAAAATGAGGGGTGGAGCTCTAGAAAGGGGAAAGGCAGTTTCAGAATTACACTGCTTTCATGGGCAATTTGCCACCTTTGGTTTGTAAGCATCATGGCTAGGGTGTCTCCCAGGTGGTGGAGTTGCAGGGCAGACGTGCAGGCAGTTTGCCAGAAGTACTCTTTGTCCCCCAAACTTTTGTGTCCCAAGCTTTAGTTTGACCTGTGCTATGTTTTGCCCCATGCTTTTATCTCACTCCTGTTCTAGTATCAATTGTGTTGTGCAGGCAGGACCAAACATTGTAGTGCTCGGGTTTGAGCTTTCCCAAATGCAGCAGAGTGCTGAGTTTACCTTGATTGAATGCTGGGGCTGTTGTCCTCAGTCTGAATTGATCAGAGTATATTTCAGGTCTAGCTTTTAGAATGTGAATCCAAATATTTTGAACAAAAGTGTTATGGAATGGACTAAGCAAAATCCATTTTGTTATACAGTTCAGCTTAACATTGTTAAAAGGAAAAAAACCCTCACATCTGATGAAGGTTTCCATGTATAAATTGGGCCATGCCAATTAGACACTTTCTAGAGTTAGAATCCTATCATGTTTCACTATTGTATTTAACACAGGGAGACTACAGGACTTCAAATGGGGAGTAAATGGTATTGTCCATGGTCTGCTTACCTTCCTTTCAGGTGATTCTATTATTTTCCATTCATTGAGTTTCAACTGGTGCAGTTCATCAAACTTCATGCTGACATCTTCAATTGAGAGCTGCAATAAGTCCCAGAAACCTGCTAGGTCCTGGGAAGTTGGTCTCGGCATGGCACTCGGATCCTGTCACGCACAAAGGAGAGCATATGAATAGACCAGGAGGCTTTAAACAACATGCTCTGAGGCAGGGAAGGCACCGCGCCAGATTCCATTGCTACAGCGCTGCTCAGTGCTAAGGCTACGTGTGCTTTACAGCTGGGAGCTGTAACTGGAAAGTTTTGCCTCCTACACAACCCAAACATGAATGAGTTGGATGTCATACACGAGCCTTCCTGAATCCGTGCGGCACGAGAAGTTCCTTAGCACCATATGCTGTGCTGACCTGCATTTCTAAAAAGGAAGAAGCTGACAGTTCCTGCCTGCTGATTATTAAAGGGAAGGGGAACGTGGTTTGTATTCTAGCCAGTCTGAAGTCTTTCTCATTAAAAATTATATTCATGATAGCTGATTAGAAGGCAAAACACCACCAGTAAGAAGATGTCAGCTTATGCTGAATTTGATGTTTACATTGTCTTGCATTTTCAAATGTATACATAAGGTATACAGTTTTGAAGGGGAAGGTAGGATTTTGTTCTCCAGGGAGTTGAATCACCCCCAGAAACTAGGAAAACACTACCCCCAGGTACTGCAGTTAAGTGGCATTATGTGCACAAAACTTAATGGAGCAAACATTGGTCATAACAATTTGCAAGATGATCCTCCATTTAACTGTTAACTTGATGTCAATGTTGGATAAAGCTTACATTAGGAGGTGGTATACAGACTCTTAACCCTATGCTCTATGAGCACTGGTACCAGTTCAAGAAAACAGCTTTGTCACTTCAATGAAATAGGACTTAATTGATAAACGTGTTTGTGAAGATGATGTAGAGATGCCTCTTCTCTTCCAGGGAGGAGGAAGCCATTAAGGTGGTCTACAGAATGGAGCTGGGGGAGATGGAGTCAAAACCAGGCCAAAGGGACTCTGGATCTCCCCCTTCCTGGGTAAAAGCTGAAATGACTAGTTTACTATGTCAGAAACACTGGTGTTATTTCTGAAGCAAGGCTCTGTGCCCCATCTTTTACAAATCTAGTGGACAAAGGCATTTTAGATATTAAACACAACCTCACATAGTTGCCTAAAAGCTGGGACTTAAGTCAGTATTTCTACTGAATTCCTCCCTTGAATTGCACATTTTTAGGGGTATTAAACTAGGAATGGCTACTCAAGTTTGGGTTTTGCAGATGCCACTGTGGGATCTGAGTGCCTGGAGCTGGGCATGACGACATGCAGCGTCACTCATACCTAAGCCCCTTTTGGAATTGGGCCCAAGAACCAGCTTAGAACCCTATACACTTGGAAGTTTTCTTCAGTAGAAGAAAGTCTCTTTTTCATAGGGAGCTTCGGGATCATAACAGAACTCGCCGTATAGATTATAACACTTCTGGGAAACAGGATACAACTCCAGATTAGTGTTCACTGAAAATGACTTAATTGGGTAGATCCCAGTTTACTCCAAAACAATTTAAAATTTATGTCAGTGGTATTAGTTACTCTACAGAGGTCAGTATCTCAGGCTTCAGGAACCAACTCCTTGTGTGAAATTTGTCCGGACAGTCCCACAGCAACGTATCTTATATTGCGATCTGTTCTCTCCAGCTTGGCCTCCTCAGTCACTCTCCCCAGTTTCCTCTAAACAGCCATAAAACGATGCCACTCATTGAAATGCCATTGCCTTCTGAGTCAAGGCTAATTGCTCTTCTGTACCTCTGTGTCCCCCCACTCTGCTCATCATGCTCGGGAAGATGGCAGCCCCCAGCGCGGCTCCTTGCAGCGGAGTGTGCGGCGCATTGTCTGGACACAAGAGGGCTGCCTCCTGCTGCTATCGCTTATGGATCCACAGACCACGAATAAATGCTGGCACAAATGATTACTATTACAGCTAACTAAATTTTGAAAAGATTGGCTTAAACCTGTTTCTGCTCAGAAGCTGCTGTTTTATTTGTATCTTATTTGGAATTCAGCTTTGCAGCGCTCCTGAAGGAAGCCTAAAGCAAGCAAAAAGTGCCTAGCCAGTGCTCGAGCCACTCTGCTTTTGCCTGTAACCATGACATACTGGGAGATGATTTCATGAGCTGAGCAGGATCTGTGCTGACTAGAGAGTATGGAGGAGGACACTTCAAAGAAAAAACAGGGTGTCACAAGAGATAATGTGAATAAAGCAGAAAGGAGCAGTTATTAACCAGTGGAGTTTTTTTTCTAGCAGTTAGTGGGAGCAGTAGGTTGTAGGAAATAGCCAACCAAATTATTAAAAAAACTTAATCGAAGCTTACATTTTTATGAATTTAACCTAAGTGAGAGTGTTTGGTAAGAGATCTTAACCCAGAGCATAATCAAATGTGTCCCTTAAAGTTCCCACCAACCCATAGAAAAGTCCATAGGAGATAGGTGAGTTTCCTGTTTAAATTTCAGTTTGAGTAAGTATATTCCTTTTCCTAAACCCTCGCTGCATTTTGAATTGGCAGAAGTAAATGCTGTTGTTCTTTATGCTACATTTATGCTCTTTGCTGTTGAACACTGTTAGAGAAACTGCCGTGTGGTAGCCCTGTAAGTGCTAGATGTTTTTGAGTGGGGGAACACACTAACTGGCTGCTATCTGGCAGCATTCCCATGGGGCACCGAGATGCTGCCTCAGGAGCATATGGAAAGCCTGCTGTGGATACGCACTAAGTGACTATTTAACAACAAACTCTATCGTTAGTCATAGGAAGAAAAGCCTCAAAACATGAATAAGCTAAAAGTCCAGTTCTGCAGTTGCTGTTTTCGGCAGAGCCCGTTGCTGATTTAATGAAGCTGAAGAACATTCAGAGTCTAAATCTTCAGGGTGGGATAAAGCTGCTGTTATGGAGTTCAAAGGTTTATTATCCAAATAAGGAGAGAAATAAAATCTTTCCAGTTTTTTGGTCATGTTGTCTGCAAAGCTGCAGATTTCTCCTTGTGCTCATATTGCTTTTGCAGTAATGAACTGTTCACACTTGCAAACAGCTGATGGCTGTGCTGAGCAGGAGCTACGCTTGTTATTACAGTAATGCTCTCAAGCACAAGTGCTGGACCCACTTGAGGATAAATGAAGTGGAGTGGGTCTCCAAATCTTAGTCTGCATAGCTTAATCAATCAAGTAATGGAGAGCACTTTGAAATTTGCAGTGAGAAACTTTTAGACATTGATGAAGATTTCCTCTTCTCACCGCAAAACAAATTACTAGATAGGGAGCACACATGATGTATTTGATACTACAAATGTGGTCATCTCCTGCTTGCCTGACTTTGCGTATTTCCTCTGTCATTCTGTAACAGCTATTAAAATTCTTGTTTTGACAGAGTCTTTGAAGTGTATAATTGGATTCTTTCCTAATGAGGACCATATATCTTATCATTTTCTATCAGAAGGTAGGACATTTTTTGCCATGACTTTCTCAGTAATATTTGATTGCAGTTTCAGGAATTCTGGATATTTAACTTTATGGATGGAAAGTAGCAAGTAGGTCTCTGCAGAATGCATGTTTTGCCTTAAAAATTTATGTGGCAAATACTAACAAGTAAAGAAATGTATCTAACCAGACATACAGATCATGATGTCTGTTGTCATGCATGCAACAGAATTCAGTACTTTTAATATATGAGGTGTAGGGGCAGTCAAAAGCTGAAAGTTATGCTTAGTTTTAAGTGAGCCAAAGAAAGGTGTTCTACTAGCTGTAGGTAGATGAATTACATTCTTCCATTCATTAGTACTATCACTGGTGGCTGCTGTCATATTAATGAAGATAACGTTTAGAATTGAATTACTCTATAATGAACTTCCAGAACAATAGCAGTAACTCTCATAAGTAATATACTGCATCTGTTCCTTTAGCCCTAGGACATCTTATATATAATTGGCAATGCAAATTATGAAACCCAATTTTAGGAACATTATGTATATTCCCATTTCTAAGAACAGTCCTATTTTCAGGTAGGTAGAAAGCTGGATCATGTATTCTCCACTATTCTGCTATTTTACTATTCTCCACTTACTGTTATGTGAAAATTTTCTCCTTTCTTACCAGAAACATAGTTACTATTTTAGGGTATTACAAAAATAAGCCTTCATTTTATGTCTCAGAAAACTTGCATTTGTTCCCTTCTCATTTTTTTTTCTTTATTAAAGACAGCAAAAAAAGAAAAGACAAAACACTGCCAGACTGCAATTACTGAAATATTGTTTGCATTGATAAAAAATGTACTAACATCATACTTAAGGATTAAATTAATTAAAAAAATTTCAGAATGCTACTGTTTGGGTACTCTATACTTGTTTTTGTTATTGCCTTTTAAGTAAAAATATTAAATTCCAAAATTTAAAGTTATGTTTTGTGGAATATCTATGGATGAGTAGCCTTACACTCTTCAAGAATGGCCAGACATGGTAACTTACCAGATTTTGTTGACAAAGCCAATAAAATTGCTGGAATTTCTGAGACATGAGGAGCTGTGCGCTTCCAACAGCACTTCGGATCTTACCTAGGACTAAGCATACAGACAGGTTATTACCAATAGATGTCTTTTGGCAGTAAATGCAAAATCCAGCTCAAAAAAATATGTAGCTGAAATTACTGTTTATTTTATAAGGGAAGTAAATATTTGGTTTTGTTGTTTGTGATTATATACATAAAATATTTTTTACAAGATGGAGATATGGGAAAACTCAGAGGCACCTCACCCTTTGGCAATAAGAAATGATATCTTAATAACTCATAACAGCTAAGACTGTATTTTCTTAAGGAAATAGAAAAAAACAAGAGAATATGTCTGAAGTGGTCATACATACATATGTTTTTGAGAACAATCTTAAATTTCAAAGTAAATGACACCTCCTCCCTGATTTAAATTTGCTTATGTAAATTAAAAGCTGTTGAAATAGCCTTGCACCAAAAATCAGTTAGATGCCTGTTCCCTCTGCAAAGGGAGCTCTACATGTACCTTAGATAATATCTTCTGATTCTGCAATTACAGATGACTTCGCTCACTTGTGTGGATGATCCCTGGGTGAGCACTCTTTATCCCGTCTGTTCTGGGGGTAACGTTAATACATTAAAGTATAACATAAGATACAACCATAAGGATGAGATCCTCAGGGGAATCATGTATCTGAGACATGTCTTGGTAGCCCCGTTAGGAGTTACAGGTTGCTTACCCAGAAAAACGCACAAAGTCCTAAGCACAGGAGCTTCAGACAAAGTGGGACACAAGCAGGTGCTGCAGGACTTTGCTGAATTGTGATCAGCCCTCATGGCTCATGGGGCTTTCCCCACCCTCAGTGTACTTGCCACGTACAGTGTGCATAAGCAATGGGGAAAGGGACCAAATTAATTTTATTTGACTTTGCTTCCAAGAGTCATCTGTCTAAATCAAAATTTCTGGACGCCCTATAATCAGTAATCTGAGCTCATCAGCTCAGCCATTTTAGCACTTATTTTTAGATGAGCTGAATCTCTTCCTGGAGATGCCTACTTCTTTCTGTTGACGAGTGCCTGAGGGGACTGGTTTATCCCCAGGAAACTAACTCCTGGACTCCCACGTTTACTGGGATAAATACCATACTTTTGTAGGTAGCAATATATTTTCCTACATCTCCTTCCTACACATCCTTTCCTACACTTCCTTTCCTCCACATCCATCCCTATGCTGAAAAAACAACACTTTAAAAAGCATTCTAAACTGAGGTTTCAATGGAAGATTGATTTTATCCAGAGAACTTTCAGGTCTTTAAATAATGTTTAGGGTAAAGATAGAGACAGGTAGGTGCAGGGGTGAGACAGGAATTACTCTGACATCTTTTAATTCAACTTGAAGAAACCAAATTGATAATTCAAACAGAATACATAGGGTGGAATGAAGCTACAATAGTACAGCAGAACTGATCTGCAGCCTGTGATATAGAAAACATTACATTCTGGCAGGGCTTAGCACTTTGTTGTTATTTGGAATAAGTACAGAAAGGGACTGAGTTGCACGTGAAAACAGCATTATTTTTATAGTAGGTATTAAATTTTAATTTTACTTTCTCTAGACCAGTGTAACATCTGCTTAACCACAAGTAGCAGCAAGAGATAATTTGAAAGTTTTAGGCTCCAGGTCTGTGGAAACATAGAAACTCTGTAACTTTAAAAGCATGTGTTAATATGTAGAGCTGTGGTTCTCAAACTCTATTCCATTTTCTGCTAGACAAAGAGTACAGCTGTGCTACAACACTAAATTAAACAGCAAGATGCATAATTCATCAGTCCTCTGTGGCACTCATTTGTGAAAGGGTTAAGTGGTTCAGAGTTGCATGAGTAATTCACTGGTGTTTTGGTATTGTTTTGTTGGCCAAATGAAATAAAACATTTTAAATAGTTTGGGGTTTTTGATCACCAAACCCTTCACTTTATGGAGTTACTGGCACATGGAAAGCAATGTTTTTGGTGTTAAAAACCTGAATAAGCATACAAAAACCTAAATAAAAAGGTAATGTTTCACTTGATCTGAAATAAATTGCTTTAATTTGGTTTTCAGCATTTTTAATAAAGGCAAAGATTTAAGTGACAAATAGCTTTGTATCCTCCTTTACCCTCAGTGCGCTGTAGCTCAGGACATAAGATAAACTCCCAGTGTGGGGTTAGAGTCCCTTCTCTGCCAGGGTGGGGAATTATGCTGTAGCAGGTCGCTGACATCTCCTGTTTCATGCTATGTTCAACTATTCACTGGGCAGAAAGAGAGTGGGGATGGTTCTGTAGGCTGATGGTTTTAGTGCTTGTCTAATAGTGAGTAAAGTTCAGTTTTAGTTTCTTCTGTTGAATTTTATAGTTCATAGCTTGGATACATAGCCCAGGTAAGGGGCATTTGCTTTAGCCTTACTGCAGAAATGTAGGTCTTGACAGAATCTATATATGACTGATATTTTATAGTGAATCTCACAGTTACCGCAACCCCCATATTAAATAAACATTTGTTTTATTTTTGTTATCCTGAAGGATCATGTCAACAAGCACTGGCGATTTAAAGCCCAGTCAGACCAGAAAAGACTTAGGCACTGGCAATGCCTCATTTTGGTGGGATACACATCCATTGGGGATGTAAAACAGTGGTTCTGAGCTACTTGTATGTGTCACTGAGTCACAGTGGTGAATACATATGTATAATTACAGCCCTACCATTTACTAAAGATCTTAGTCTATTTCCATTTCAATAAGTAAATCAGACGTAATAAAACATGGAAGTTAAAATCTCTCATATTCATGCTACTCTACTTTGCTGTAATTAAATTAAAGTATTAAAACACTTCAACTCATAATCTTTAGCACAATATTAATAGACAGTCAAAGCCTTGTTATTAATTTCATGCATTGGGGAATTATTCTGATGAGTGCAGATTGATTATCTCCATGAAAGAATGATGAATGTTAGAGACTGGAGAGATTGAGATGTTTGGTGATGCCTAGAAGATTTTGCTTGTAAATAAATGATGATAAAATCTACCAACATACATAAATATATATAATTTTCATGTAATCTATATACCTCCCTCTATTAAGATAATGTTATATTTACTTGAAAGTCAGGAAAGAGTCACACAACCTTAATTCTGCTCCCTGAAGAGTATGAAGCCCTACATTTTTGTTGTGTGGTCCTGTATGGCTTCTACTCTGAAGACATATAAAACTCTCACCATGGCTGCAGTAGAAGCAGACTCAGGATTTATACCATGGATAGAGACTGTGTAAATTGACTGTATACAAAGTGCATAATTAAGACAATGTTGTCTTTTCCCCTGCAATAAGCATATTACAAAATTTGAAGTAATATATGTGTTGTATTGCTTGCTACAAAATCTTCTGATTAAAACTGATTTCATATCACACAGGTAGAAGGGGAAAAGTTGGATCTATATTGATGAAACCAAGATTATAGTCTCATGCTGTAACACTATTCTTGACAGGTTAAAAGTTTTGCTCAGTTGTGTCACTGCTGCACCAGCAATGTGAAACTACTAACAATCAATCTACTTCTGGTATTAAATACTATTTATTTAAATGACAAGTATTAATTTAAATATTAATTCCATTTGATTGTTCCTTTTTTTTTTTTTTTCTATACTTGTAAAATAAATTGATCTACAAACAATCTGAGAAAATATGCCTGGAAAAAATACTGAAACTGGCATTTAGTTCATCCTCCTAACTCAAAGCAGGGCATGATATTTGTCTAACCTCTAAAATTACAATTACAATTACAATTACAATTAGTAATCTTCAGAAATATATGTCTTTTTCACTGTCAACTCAGCAGGTAAGTGTAATAGTAAGTGTATAATATTCAGAGTGAGATAACATTTTAGGACAGCACAACTATCACTTGGCAGTGCTCTGAAGAGTAGGTAGGGCCATGGGATCTTTGTGCACCAAATCGAACATGGGGCAAATTTGCTCTTTACCTCAATGGAGCTGAGTTCAAAGAGAAGAAAATTTAAGCAGAACAATACAAATGCTAGGAGGAATTCTCAGATTCCACACTATGGGACTGTCTTTTATTGACTTTAAAGACTGTTTCAGGGCAATTAAGACATTCTGTAGTCATTCACAACACTCCAAATGTAAATTTCAATAGTTCCTGAAGGATTGGTTTGTGAAAAGCATTAGGAAATTATGTCAGTAATTACTCTTTGGTTAAAGGATAACCCATATTTGGTCAAACACCTAAGAAAGCTTTTGTGGATGATTAATTGATGAATATACTAAAATAAATTAGTTGTGAGGGTTGTTGGGGTTTGGTTTGGGTTTTTTTTTCCAAAGCATGGGAGATTTAACACTATATTTTCCGTTACAATTCGGCTGTGTTAGTAAAGCCCTTGCAGTACTGTGGGAATATCAACCAGAGGACTGGCAAGGAAAAATCCAGCATCCATGGAATGGAGGGGAAAGGGGAGAGAAGGGTAATTTGAGCTCTGACTGTCTCTAATGCCTTTTTTTTCACTAGAGGTCACTTTACTATGTATCTATGCCAGCAAAGCTCCTAACCATGATGCAAAAGTTACCAGCAAAACAACCTTTTTTCTGGCACACCTTATACTATCATTAATTTTCTTTTCACCTATTTTAATTTTTTGATACAAGAGTAAACTCTGTGTGGCCGTTCTCCATTTGTCTTGTGCACTGAAATACTTCAGTGGCCAAGCATGTGGCATTCAGAAGCCCAGGATGTCTTCTGCTTCCCTCTGCCAGTCCTTGCCTACAAGCCCTGGGCAGGGACTGCGGCTCCCCACCAGCCTCGCCTGCTCTCCCCCTCCCTGTGCCAGTCTCTCTGCTCCCATCACAGAACTCGTGGGCGGCAGAGTCCTGGCCCTCTTGGTCTTCCATAGCTCTGTGACAATTGAAAGTGTTTTTCTTCTCATCACCTACACACCAGTCACAGCCAAACACAATTTTCAGGGTGTAAAACTGAAACTCCAGTCAGCACCCTTGAGAAACACATATCTTTGCTCGAAGGCACCCTGCTAGTGCAAATGATCAGATGACTTACCCTGGGAGCAGTTACAGCCACATATATTTTATATATATATATCTAGATATGCTATAATAAACACTGAGAACATGGATAACTGCCCCCACAAACAATATACGAACTTTGCAGAGAGACCAAAACAAAATTCATGGCAACTGACCAAATAAACAAATTTTATGAAAAGAAAGGGAGGTTATTTTTGCTGCAATGATTATCTTCTCCTTTTCTAAGACCCAGTGAGTGAAGTTCTTAAAACAACATTATGGGAGAAAAGCTACAGTGAAAGAAAAAATCAATACAGCAATCAGATAGCAGTCTGTGATCTCAGGGCTATTGTGTTAACACAGAAAATGAAATTGTTTCTAAAATGCAGTTCTATTTTAACTCTTCCCATGATTAAAACAAGATAGAAATGGTTTCATAAAGACAGCGTTCTCCTATGAGATGCAAAGCTGTATTTGGTCTTCAGGTACAATTAATATACCCAGGCCAAAAAGAAATGATTCAGCATTAACAATGACAGTTTGAACGTACAAACTTTGCTCCTTCTGGAATAGTAGCTCCTGCTGGAAGATGGGAAAACTTATTTAGTGGTTTCTGTCTCCCCCATTTGTGTGTTATTTTTTTCAGGGAACTGCCAGATGCTTAAATATTTCAAGACATTTCATGCTGGGATATTATTAAACTTCAATTCTTGTGGATATGTACCCTTCAACCTCCATAGCTCAAGCTGGGGATACAAAATGTGACAAAAACTCAGCAGGAAAAAAATTATTCATGCTGAAATTTTAAAATGCTGTGGAGCTCATTCCCTTGGTGAAAATAATTATTTGATAACTTCCTTTTACTTGATGTAAGCTATATTAGGTGAAGGGGTACCATTTCAAAGATAATGTAATTTGGAAATTATTTGAGGAAGATCTCTTGAAATGAGTCACATAAAATTAAAAATTGGAAGTCTGGGTGACAATCAGCTGAAGACAAGCATCTGATTTTGCATAAGTTGTATAGACCTACTATCCTACAATAATTTCTCTAACCTATTAGGGACGTCAAAATATTCCCCCAAACACAAGTAATGAACCCCTTTTTGGTTAGCTTAAAAAGAGTATTTCAGTGACCCATTTCGGTTATGATTTAGTAACTCTGTATCAGGGAGTTGCTCCTTCTTTTTCCTCTTAAAGAGTAGAGTCACTCTGCAAATGAGAAAACATAAAATCCTGATATTCCATTTTGTTTTCAGATTGAAATGTTCTAGGTTAAAAGGGTGTCACTAACTTCAAATATTAATAAAAATTACTGAAGTCCATTTTGTCTTTGTCCTCTGTACAATTTACTGAGAACTATCTTCCTAATTGCCATTTCCCCATGCAGCAAGGGTATTTCTGGAGTGCAAGAGCATAGCTTCACATGGTGAGAGGGAGGGTGGTTTTGCCATTTCCCCATGCAGCAAGGGTATTTCTGGAGTGCAAGAGCATAGCTTCACATGGTGAGAGGGAGGGTGGTTTTGCACCTGGGTATGTGTAGTCAGCTAAAATCAGGTCCTCCAAGTTTTCCTAACAGTACACAGCTTCATATTCCAGAGAATAACACCACTAACTCCCTGTCTGTGTCTCCGAGTGAGGAAGGAGTACTGACGTGAGAATGTTTCCACTGCTCATTTCATGTGGCTGCAGATTTGATTAGGGCTGTGCATGAGGAAGGGCTTGCAGAGAGAGGAGGTAGGAAAAGTCCATCCCTTGCCTGCAGATTCCTCACTGGCCTCCTAGGGGAAGAGAGGGGCTAACAGTGCGTGTGTTTCTCCCCTTTGCTCCCTAATAATTTTACTCTTTCCAGGGAGATTAAAGTCTTGCTCTTTGAGCTTCTGCTTCAGATCATAAGCACTGATGTCCCCACATCAGTAACAGGCAATCTTGGAAGCAGGTGCTTTGGGATACTTAATGATGGCAGAGAAATATCAGTATTCAGCAGTGCACAGATTTGGGGAATTGAAAAATAAGACGTATATGGTAAAAAGAAGTATTAAAAAAATAGCCATTATGAAAGAAGCCTTGAAAATTCTCATAAAGGCTAAGCAAAGCAAAATATTTTATTATTCATACTTTAACAGCCCCTCGGAGTGTATTCAAGTCTTCACAGAATTCAATGTGAAGGGAAAATTCTCAGTTCAGCTCTGCCATGATGAAACTAAGGACAAAAACCTACACTCCAGAAAGCACTGGAGGCTGAAGGAAGAAAAACAGCCTTATGCTCTCCCTGACCCCAAATTCTATGTTGTTACTTGGCAGACTTGTGTGCAATAAAATCGAGAAATATTGCAGCAAATTAAAAAATGATGAGGTAAAAACATAGACATCCTTTCTTTTGAACAGGTCAGAGAAAGAAATAGAAATTGGCCTTTTAGTCACCATGCAGGCCTGGCCCCAGACCTGAGGGTAGATCACAGCAAGGATTCACTGAGGAGGAAAGAAGATGATCAGGAAAGAGTATTTGGAGGTGATAGTGAGATTTGTGAGAGTGCAGGAAAAGATGCTAGTAAGAAAACTTAATATGAACTAATTTGTGATCTGAGAAAATCTCGGCTGAGACAATAATTCAGATTGGCAGGGATTGAAATATTTATAAAACTGAGCCTGAAGAACAGGGATAATTGACCTCAGAGGGAATCACAGGGAGCTGTCTACTGAGTTCTAGGACCACTTTGATATATTACTATCATTAGTGCTGGCTTGGATCTTGTTCCAAAATAGTCTACATTATTTTTCACTTTATTCCATCACTCCTCTCAAGGTGTCCACAAGACGTGAGAGAATAATAATGATTCTTGACAAATTGTAATAAGAAAATGCAGCTGAACTATCTAATAGTGCATATGCCTGTGTAACTGAAGAAGTGCTTTAACTATTGTTCTTGCCTACTCCTTTCTATTCTTCCAACAGATCCTTTATGATAGGCAGAATTGCCTGTAAAGGAATTAAAACATTTTAAAAATGACTGTTAATTAATAAGAGATAAATTCTCAAGTTTCAGGAAAACAGCAAAAAAATGTTCACATAGGACCACCTTGTGTGCTTTGGCAAAGGCTCAAGCACCGGAGCCATAGAAGTGTGTGGGAAGAATGAGTCAGAGTCAGAGCTGTGGATGGAGCTATTGCATCATTTGAACCATATCTAACACCAGACTTGGATCCTGCGCTTGCCTCTACAGCTGGCTCCTCAACTACTCCTACAAAACCTTACTTTGGGAAATGCCAGCTTGCACAGTCAATTGCAGGACAGGGCTCTCATATATAATAGTTCCGTAGAGTGTCTTTGGTACTACACAATGAATAAGGACAAACTACAGCCCACAACTTTATCCTAACCGATTTCTTATTTTAGCAGACATCTATAAAAAAAGATACCAAAATGCTCTTACTTTCTTCAGAAAGATCATTTTCTTCTGCTTCTCTTTCCATTTCTTTACACCACCCTTCCATTCTCTTAGTTTCAGTATGTAGTAACTTCATAAACCAAGATCCATCCCGTCGACAAGGAGACATTCGCCCGGTCTCTACCGTCTCAATGGTTGGCTCTAGCCAGGGTTCTGGTGGTGGAAGGTTTGAGGTGTCAACTGGGGTCCTATAATCTTCTCTGTAACTGAACAGTCCCTGTGTCCGTACAGTTCTCACTGCGCTGTATTGGGTGGGTGTGCTGGGCTCTGAGTGCTGCTGGAACGACGAGCCAAACTGAAGCCCCTTGTCCTCCATCGTGATGTGTCCTGGAAAGCCCTCCAGTTCCAGGTCAGCCTGGACAGCTGCTGTTACACTGTTTGAGCGCTTGAATCGTCCGTGTCTTGGTGAAGAAGGAAGAAAGAAAAGAGATTAAGACATATAAATTCATATGTGATTATACAGAGGCACAGAATAATGTTTCAGTGAATGGATTCTGGTTTTCTTTAACTTTATGTTGAATATTTTTCCTTTGTGCATATCTCACTAACATAAGACAGTGAGTAAAAACAGAGAGGAAAACCAAAATGCATAGTGGCATCATTGATCTGTGCAAAGATAAAAAAGAAAAAAATTTAAATTATCTCTGGAAACAAATATTGATTTATTCTCATACTACAAAATACCATGTATCATTACTAAATGAACTGGAAATAACTAGCAGAACTGCAAGGTTATATCTCCTGATAGCAAAGTACATGTATGAAAACATCTCAAATATTAAGAATTGTAATTAGACAAGATCTGAAAAACTGCTAAATTAGGACTGTTGAGCAAAAGAAAAATAGTAGCAGCAGGTTTAAGACTGTAGGTTTTTTTACTTGCCTATAGGATGGCCATTAAATGCTGATTTTCTATTGTGATATGGCACTGAATAATGACATTTTAGAAAAGCTCTATGTTACATAGAGAGGCAAAGATTATTTGTGAAATCTTTTCACATACGAGCCTATTGCTTCAAATTGCTTCTAGTCAATGATGGTAAAAGGTAATTAGCAGTCAGTTACTGTCTGACAGCTGCCGTGAAATGAGATAATGGTCCCAGTCCAGTACCTAACAGGCAGTGCCTGCCAGGGATAATCTGTGGGTTAGTACATGGACCATCAGTTTTATAAAGCTAGAGAAGGACTGAACAAGTATAAAAGCTGATTCTAGCTTAGGATAAAGGTACCATGGGTTACATCCTAACTGTTACATCACTCTATGTGGACTGGGAAAGCCTGGATCAGCATGAGGCGTCCTATCAAAGGAAGAGTATTCTAATATATAGCTCTTCGTATTTGTTATGCCAATAATTAAATTATATCAATTCACTACTTTAATTTAAAACTTTTACTTCCTTCTCTCCAATTAAAAACTGCAAAGTTAACTAAATATTAGGCAACTTCCAAGTAATCTCTACAAATTTTATCAAATGACCAGCATGCCTATAAGAAATTTGGCTTTGTGATTTATTTAGGGGCAGCACTTGCCAGATGTTTGTTATTAATTCTGTTTACAAATGCGTGTTGTGCTATGAAAGACTACAGATTTTTGTACATGCTTGAATTACCGTTTTTCATCTTCCACTTGTATTCCAACAGAGTGGTATTCCCGTAGGCCTCTGCTTTCAGTATCTGAATCAGTTGCTGTTTCCACCTAATTCAACACAAAAGATATATCTGCAGAGTGAGGACCAACAACTCAACACTATTTCTACCTGCACTTATTCAAAATTAATTATATATTTCCTCCCTTACTGCTAAGAAACACCTAGCACAGTAAAATAAATGAAATCAGTATTCAGCCTGGTATCACTGTTTTGGTGCTGTGTTTTATAAAGCTTTGCGCAAGTACTTCTGTTCTATGTAATTCCCTATTTCAAACCTAAGCAGATGCAATTACTTAGTTCAGCGAAAGCAGGGAAGAAGCTTGGTCTGGAAGAGCTGTTCTTAGAATGAGGAATCCAAAGGATAACCCCTTTTTATATTATTATAAAACAGTCTCATTATAGTCCTTGATTTACAAAACAAAATAAAATTTCAAGTAGCCTGATAAACTTGCAAGTAATAAAAAGAAATGCTGCAATGAAATTTTATCGACAACTGTGTTGACAAATATAGAACCATTTAAATGACGTGAGGGATACAGCAGAATGCCATATCTCACCTTTTTAAATAACATGGTCCTTAAAATCAAGCAAGCAATTTATGCACTTTTTATAGTATTCCCATCTGAAATACACTTACCAAAATACATTCAAAGTAGAATTTTCTTCATAACCAAGACCATATTACTTTTACAAGTTTCTGTGGGATTTTATATAACACTCCCCAACACCACACCGCCCCCAAGTCTTTGACACAGACATAACGAGAGCTGCAGTATGCAAATTATACTGAATCAAGGGAGAGACAGGAAAAAAGACTAGAACTGACTTTTCATTTTGAATGATATTTTCACTGTTAAATTATAAAAATAATACCAGCAACCAGTTTTTCAATATGCACACTCTCTGTGTGAATTCAAAGAGTGTATCCTATGATGAAGACAAGATAATTTTTCCCCTTGCAGCAGTCACAGGCACTTCTGGAAGAAGCCCAATAGCCTTTGCAGCTGCCTCTCAGCTGCACAGTCCCAATCCCGCCAGGTTTCTGGGAGGGGGAAGGAGGGTGGAAAGTGAATATACATGTGGACTATACTTCTTGAAGAACTCAGTTGTTGGTAACTTCTCTTTCTGTCTTCAAGCTGTAGCTCCATGTAGATTCACATGGAAGGCAATTCCAGCTAGTAATCATTACACATTTATATTTACATAGGTGTGGGTCTTGGAGATGTTAATGAAAACAGCTAGTGTGGGAACCCTTTAGTAAATGTTAAGAACATGCTTGAACTGTACAGTGTAGTCTCAGACACAGGTTTGCCAAAAACTCAGTGTAGCAACTGTTAGAGAAAGGCACATTTCCCGGCAATTCCATTTATTCTGCATGAGGTCTAGGGGAAAGTGTGCTCTTCTGTCTGTTTCCACCTTGGCGATGCATGGAAGCTGGCTATGTTCACTTGGACAGGCAGGACATAGAGAGAACTAAGACATCAGGCTTGCTAACAGTCTCCAGGATTTGGTGTTGTCAGTATAAAAGATCCCTCTTGATGCTGGCTGTGAAAAAAAACCTCAATCACAGAGGTAGGCAGCTTGGGGAAAAAAGAAAAACAAACAAACAAACAAACAAAAAAAAAACAAATCACAAGAGTCAACCAAAACCAGGCAAGCTGGTTTCCTAGTTAGGGTGGGTCTTGGCTGAAACACGGGTGAGAAGCTTAAGCTGTACTTGGAGGGTGACCCTCTGATGCAGGAACATTGCTATAAGTAGAACAGCCATAAGGTCCAGTTTCTTAGCACAAGAGACACCTATCAGGAAATACACCCTTATTTATAGCATAGAAGGATCCAAAAGAGTCTTGAATAAGTTCAAGTCTAAGTGAGGGACTAGGCACCCACCTAGACCTTTCAGGGATGTGAGAAAAGCTGCATATAAAAAATCCTCATTAGTGACCGGTGAGCAGAAATTAATACTCATCTAGCCTGTTGGAGGAAAGTTACACTTGCAGTGATGAGAGCTCGATCAAATATGCACAGACATGCTTTGAAGAATCAAGTCAACTTATGCTCAGAGGGACAGGAGGTGGTCGGTAGTGAAGAATAGCAGGTAACAAAAAATGCTGAGACTGTGGCTCTTGGGTGTGTGTGCTGGGTTTGAGTGGCAGGATTTTGGTAGCAAGGCAGGGGGCTACAGCAGCGGCCCCTGTGAGGAGCTTCTCAGAAAGCTCCCCCAGCTCCAAGTTGGACCCACCTCTGGCCAGGGTCGAGCCAACTAGCAGTGGTGGCAACATTTCTGTGATAATGTATTTAAGAAGGGGAACTTGAGAGGGGATTGGGGTTTGTGAGGAGGAGTTATGAGAAGGACAGCTATGCAAACATCCAGGTCAGTGGAAGGAAGGAGAAGAAAGGGGGGAAGGTATGCCAGAGCATCTGTATATTGTGGTGAGACAGCAGGGCCGCCCAATCTGCCACCCATGGAGTTCTGCAGTGGCGCAGAGGCCAACCTGATGCCTGTGGAGAAGCCCACACCAGGACAGGAGGCTGCACTTAAAGGAAGCTGGGACTGTGAGTGGAGAAGAAGCCCCCACAATTGTAGTTCAGCGCTGAAAGGACTGTAACATGCGGGGGTGACCCATGCCAGAACACCTTTCTTGGAAACATAGACAGAAGGATTGAGTGCACCTTCAGCAAGTTTGCAGTTGACACCAAGCTGAGTGGTGTGGTTGATACTCTAGAGGGAAGGGCTGCCATCTAGAGAGACCTTGACAGGCTAGAGAGGTGGGCCCATGTGAACCTCATGGAGTTCAACAAGGCCGAGTGCAAGGTCCTCTACATAGGTCAGGACAATCCCAGAGATACAGGGCTGGGCAGTGAGTGGATTGAGAGCAGCCCTGCAGAGAGGGATTTGGGGGTATTAGTGGATGAAAAACTGAATATGAGCTGGCAATGTGTGCTTGCAGCCCAGAAAGCCAGCCACGTCCTGGGCTGCATCAAGAGAAGTGTGGCCAGCAGGTCGAGGGAGGGGATTTTCTCCCTCTACTCCACTCTGGTGAGACACCCTCCCTCCCCGCAGTACTGCATTGAGCTCTGGGGCCCCCAATATAAAGACATGAACCTGCTTGAGTGGGTCCAGAGGAGGGCCATGAAGACGATCAGGGGGCTGGAGCACCTCCCTTCTGAGCACAGGCTGAGAGAGTTGGGGTTGTTCATCCTGAAGAAGAGAAGGCTCCAGGGAGACTTTACAGCAGCCTTCTAGTACCTAAAGGGGGCCTACAGGAAAGATGGGGAGGGACTCTTTGTCAGGGAGTGTAGTGATAGGACAAGGAGTAACTGTTTTAAACTGAAAGATGATATGTTTAGGTTAGATATTAGGAAGAAGTTCTTTACTGTGACAGTGGTGAGACCCTGGCACAGTTTGCCCAGAGAAGCTGTGGCTGCCCCCTCCCTGGAAGAGTTCAAGGCCCCAGGTTGGACGGGGCTTTGAGCAACCTGGTCTAGTGGAAGGTGTCCCTGCTCATGGCAAGTGATTTGGAACTAGATGGTCTTTAAGGTCCTTTCCAACCCAAACTGTTCCATGATTCTGTTCTATTATATTATTCTATTGGACTGAGTTCAAGGAGAGAACCAACATCATTACTTCTACTTGTGGGATTGTTGATCAAGATCCTTGAACTTGTTTGGATGAACCACAGCTCCAGATGATGATGTCAGTATTGCAGGGACAGGATCCATGACATTACAAGCCTGAAGTTTTGACAAGGGAAAAGAGCTTTGTGGGTGGCCAGGCTGAAGAAGCTGAGCAGATGGGAACACAGGATTCATCAGAGCCTCCTGCTCACTCACATGGCTCAGCATGGAGGGACTGGACACTGTGTGCCACACCAGACCTGAGCCAAAGCCAGACAAAAGAAGCCAAGCTGACATCACCCCATGTGTCAGTTTTTTCCTTCAGTTCCTTCTAAAGCACTCCCTTTCCTTCATAGACTGATATCCCGAGGATGACCATTTCTACATCATATGCTCCTTGGGACCTACTGAATGAGTTCTGGGGGATGAATTGGAGCCCAGATTTCTGCACATGGAAATAGGCTAAGGAAGGTCAATGATATCACATTTGTGGGGCTAGCATACAGCTAGTAACACTCTGGAGGTGAGCAATGGTCAATGGACAGAGAAGAGACTTTTGCCTTCCATAAGGATGTCTCAGCAGCTCAGACATAGCGTTGTTGGAAACGTGATGGTCTAAAGATATAAACAAGGAAAATTCCCTACAGGGAACATCAATTTGGCCAATTTGTGTTGTTGGAACAAAGCAGGCAGACTGGCAACTCATAATTTTCTTCTGTATTACATATCAAAAGCATATCTGGTTTTGCCAACTACCTTGACTGGTTTAGTAACAGATAGCATGTCTTCTTTTAAATTCTCCTTCCGATGTGTGGAGGCAGATTTCCCTTTCATATTTTAGATGGGATGGTATTTTCCACTGATGCAACACATTGAGAAAAAGTGTTTTTCATCTACCTGTTTTCAAGTGCTTTCTTATTGGTATTTCACCTAGAAGTAAGCTCTGAATAATTTGCCCAATATGCAATTGACACATAGAATTGACAGGCAGAAATTAAGTAATCTGCTCTAAAATTTTATTCAAAACAGAATTATCAGGAAAATGATGACCCAGGTATCAAAATAAAAATGACATCAGTTACCCCTAAATATAAACTCTTGCGAAATTATCCTTCCCTCCAGCTTGCCAAGGCTGACACTGACTAAATGACCTGATGATTGCCTTCATATTTTAATGCTTTAATTTCCTTGCTTTGCCTTCTAACAGCAGGTAGAATGCCAATTTTTTTTTGTGTGTGTGTGCAATCTAGGATTTCAAATACTGTAACAACCAATAAAAAAATAGATCTGTAAAATGGAGGCAAATGCCAACACAAATAGAAGTGGGAAATAAAATAATTTTCACTCACAAAGAAAAAAATTAACAAATAAATTGCATTTCTGAATGGCAGATATTATAAAGACACCTGCTAGAAGACAGCAGGAAACTTTA